TTTCGACTCTGCTCCGTCGAGTACACCACCTGGTTTTGAGCAAGCTCATGGATGCTCATGGCACCCCGCTACCCCGTTGAATGATGGAGAATTGACAGTTGACAGTTGACATCTGCTGACTATTTTTTGAGAAATCAGCACAAATAGCACTGGACTGCCATTGCCTGTTGGAGGAAGGAAGGCTGGGCCTGCAACAGTGATCAAAGACACGAGTTTTTTTCAGTGCCAGTGGGTCATGTTGAAGGGATAGAGCTGAAACAAAATCAAGAATTCTCACCTGCTAAGTATAACACTTTCACTGTTGGTTGCAACACGCAAAAAGGCATAGGCGGATACCCCAAATATATCCAAATATTGGCTTTCCCAACTGAAGGTTGGTCATTGTGGATATCTATCTCTCCATCGCCTTCCCATTGTGGATATGGGGCCATCGTTTCTTCTATAAACCCGATGCAGCAGCAAACGCTTTTGATCACCAAAGAGCTTCCGCTGATCTCGCAAATGCATTGGACTACTGACAGGCACACTCAAAAGCAACCATCACACACGCTGAAAAAAAAAGACTGAGCTGCACAGGTGTACGGTGTAACATATTAAATGGGTACTTTCCCAGCAACCATCACAAACGCTGAAAAGAAGACTTAGCTGCACAGATGTAACATATTAAATGGGTACTTTCCCAGCAACCATCACAAACGCTGAAAAGAAGACTTAGCTGCACAGATGTAACATATTGAATGGGTACTTTTCCAGCAACCATCACACACGCTGAAAAGAAGACTTAGCTGCACAGATGTAACATACTAAATGGGTACTTTCCCCGCAACCATCACAAACGCTGAAAAGAAGACTTAGCTGCACAGATGTAACATATTAAATGGGTACGTTCCCAGCAACCATCACAAACGCTGAAAAGAAGACTTAGCTGCACAGATGTAACATATTAAATGGGTACTTTCCCAGCAACCATCACAAACGCTGAAAAGAAGACTTAGCTGCACAGATGTAACATATTGAATGGGTACTTTTCCAGCAACCATCACACACGCTGAAAAGAAGACTTAGCTGCACAGATGTAACATATTAAATGGGTACTTTCCCAGCAACCATCACAAACGCTGAAAAGAAGACTTAGCTGCACAGATGTAACATATTAAATGGGTACTTTCCCAGCAACCATCACAAACGCTGAAAAGAAGACTTAGCTGCACAGATGTAACATATTAAATGGGTACTTTCCCAGCAACCATCACAAACGCTGAAAAGAAGACTTAGCTGCACACATGTAACATATTAAATGGGTACTTTCCCAGCAACCATCACAAACGCTGAAAAGAAGACTGAGCTGCACAGCTGTAACATATTAAGTGGGTATTTCCCCGGCAACCATTACAAATGCTGAAAAAAAACTGACCTGCACAAATGGGTGCTTGCCCAGCAACCATCACAAACGCTGAAAACCAGACTGAGTTGCATAGGTGTAACATATTAAATGGGCACTATCCCAGCAACCATCACTAACGCTGAAAAGAAGACTGTGTTGCATAGGTGTAACATATTAAATGGGTATTATCCCAGCAACCATCACTATTGCTGAAGACTGAGCAGCACAAATGTAACATATTAAATGGGTACTTTCCCAGCAACCATCACAAACGCTGAAAAGAAGACTTAGCTGCACAGATGTAACATATTAAATGGGTACTTTCCCAGCAACCATCACAAACGCTGAAAAGAAGACTTAGCTGCACAGATGTAACATATTGAATGGGTACTTTCCCAGCAACCATCACACACGCTGAAAAGAAGACTTAGCTGCACAGATGTAACATATTAAATGTGTACTTTCCCAGCAACCATCACAAACGCTGAAAAGAAGACTGAGTTGCACAGGTGTCGCGTATTAAATGGGTACTTTCCCGGACTTACCCACCTCTAAGGTTTTGCTATCTTAGATTTGTTTGGGATGGCCGTCTACCCCTCCCGGATGAAACCCATGCAGAATAGAATCCATGGTTTCTGGTTGGGACCCAGGATCAATGGAGAGGATGGTATCCTGCACTTTTCCATCAATCAATTATTCAAAAGGAGGAATGAGCTCGATGGGGCCCTTCTGCATCTTTTTGCTAAATGCCTGTCTCCCCAGCTGAACCCCACCATGCAGGATTTGCTCTGCATGTTTCCAGCTCGCCAATGGCGTCCCCGGAGGGAAGAGAGGGGCAGCCACGGACCCAACATGATCCAACCAGCAGCCTGGCCCGGAAGCAACTAGAGCGTGCACAGCTGGGTATAGGTCACATTTGTGGCAAGAAGATTGGAGGGTGGCAATAGTTTTTGACACTCCAATTGTTTCTTGATAGACTTTGATGATCTGGATGGCCAACAGCTGCTGGTGCACAATTTGATGATTAGGCATCCATCGCAACGCGGATTCCTTTGCTCAGACTTTTCAGCATCGCTATGTTCGGGTGCCTGCAACAGAAAGCAAGTGGCCTACTGT